AGCCTTGGTGTCGCCGAGCACCAGATAAGAGCGTTGCACCCCGTGTTGACAGGTGTTACCCACCCATGATGGAGGCCTTGCCGAAGACCATTATTTCCCAGTTTATGCGTACATGTATAATAACCACGAAGCGTGATATAACCAAAGTTCCCTGCTCTACCACTGAAGAAAAACTTCACATAATGTAGGAGCTGTAACGTGTACATGCATTTTAAGTACCGTGCATGACCACCAGTTTTTTAAAGACGACATACACGTTTACCAATATGTTCTCTCCATGATGATCACACTATACACATCGGCAAATAGATCCATCGTCTATATAGCTCTACATAAAAATAAAAAATCAAGAAAAAAAAATTGCCCTCGTCAGCTGATGACCAAACGTCGTTCCCCTCCCTATAATAAATTGTAATTTATTTTTCTTGGAATAATCCTGCATAGTCTTAAAATTAACCAAGTAATCACTGAACTTTGTATACACAAACTGATTTCCCTTGTTTTATTCCTATCCACCAAAGCGCACGAAACAATCTGGAAACAAACCGAATACATGATGGCGGCAAAACTCCACTCCAACAAACATAACCAACTGAACCCTCAGAGGCAGAACAGTGTGTATACGCATGCGCACATATATAAAATTGTGCACCGTTTGCATCGATGTAATTTCATCGACCTTCGTCATCGCTCGTCCTCCATCGATGTTCCTTCATCGCTCTTTTTTCATCGGTCTTTCTTCATCGATCAAAAGAGATCGATCGATCGATGTAGGGGAACAATCGATCGATGTAGGGAACGATCGATCGATGTAGAAGAATGATCGATCGATGCAGAAGAATGATCAATGTGTTGCCTCCTAGTTTTTGCCTCTTTGGCGTTCCATAGGGAAGTACCCCATGGGGTACAGTGTCCCAATTCAAGGAAAATTCTCCGCCAGGCGGAGGCTCACAAAAAGTACCCCCCCTACAGATTCTTTCAAAAAAAGGGGTCTGTTTGGGCCAAGAAATGGTGGGATTGTGTGCCAGTATGGCCCGGGATCATCTCTGTAGATTCAGGGGCACCCATCTGGGGGCAAAGAAGACAAAAATGTGATTGAAAATTTGTCAGAAGAGCCCAAGGAAGGTGAGGGATGTCATTTGAAAAATGGCCGCTGAGAAGACTTGGCAACATTGACTTTTTCGGGGTGAGTTTGTTTTTGGAGGATAATTAAAAAATTCGTTGGTTTGACCTACTAAAAATTGAAAATCAAATGAAAGCTGAAGGACCAAACAACACATGGTTTTCTTGTTTGAGAGGCCTCAGGGAC